ATACAGTGTAGGAAAGTACCGATGGTCTATCAGAAGTTACGTGAGAGCGATAAAGTAAGCCATAGAAATCCATGTGATAGACAAGGATGGCTATAATGAAGGCGTCTAATAGTCAACGCCCATTTTGCCCTTCCACAAATAAGACGTAACTTCAGATAGACCATCGGTACTTTCCTACCCTGTATATGTTATTTTCATGGACGTTGTTTTCGTTTTAAGTATCTTTAAGTTTATTTAGTATTTTTAGTGTTCAAGCGAAATATGGCAGTTTCTGTGCAAGAAATATTCCAAATGAATGTTTTATTAAATACGGCAAACACCAAGACCATTTAACACATTTGATATACATATATTTGTTACAAATATCAAGTAAGACATCTTAAGAAAAGTTATACAAACTTGGTTTTTGGTACACATTTTGTAAGGTGTCCATTTCCTAGTAAAAATTCGGTATAAATAGCAATGACAAGTTCATTAGGCATTTCAAATTTTACTTTTTCATTCTCTTTCTTTAAAAAAAAATTTAATTATATGTATGTTGTTCACAGCAAACAGTACCATTGTTTAAAATATATGAATGTATGTAATATTAACCCTGTATAAACAGTGTAATTGTAAGTAGGAGTCAGGTTCTAGAGGCAATAGCATGTGTTCAGAATATCAGTTTGAACTTATTATTTTTTTAATCAAATTAGTCCAGTTATAATTCGTTTTTTACATTTCATTTAAGCTTTTATGCACGCTGTCACGGCGTGCATAAAAGTTGTGTCAGTATTGCTAGTTGTTAACATTCATCACTACAAAGCTGTAGCGACAAATTTTTTAGAAAATAACAAGAGTCCTAAATATGAAGAAATTGTATCAAAAATGATAAAAGACTTTCAAGATCTGGGATGTTTGATGAACTACAAGTTGCACTTCCTTCATTCACATCTGGATTGGTTTCCTGAAAATCTTGGAGATTATAGCGAAGAACAAGGCGAACGATTTAATCAGGATAGGAAAGTTACAAAACAGCGATATCAAGGAAGATGGGATGAAAACATGATGGCCGATTTTTGTTGGTTGTTAAAAAGAGAAACGAAAAATAGAGGGACTAAACGAAAGTGTAACCCTTTACATAGATCCTTTGAAGAAAAGAGAACACGTTATAGCAACAAATCGTTTTCTTTTGTTTAGAAAGTAGAGTATTCTACAAGTTTTATCGCATTCTCAATCTTCTAGGCTGTTATCTCATCTCTCAGTACAAAGTAGATGGATAGATGGATGGATGGGTGGGTTTTATAGATGGTACAGGTGGATGAATAAATATGCGTATTCATGCATGAACGACTGGATAGAAAGATGTATGAATTCATAAACGGATGGGTGAATAAAAAGATGGATACAGAATTCTGCAACATAGTCCAGGCGGTATCTGTCTTACAAAGGGTGTACTTGGGTAAAACGCACATGATCGGAGATTTTTGCTTTAACGGCTTCTAAATAACATCAGAAATGATAATTTTTCTATGCAAATAAAAAAAACGTGGGCTTAATTGTTATTACAAAAAAGTATAAAAAAATAACAAAAAAAGTCATTTTTTTCTTGGATTTCTCGTCGACAACTTAGCAACTATTCATTTTAGACAAAAATGGAAGAGGAAAAAAAGTTTTGTAATTAGATTTTGAACAAGATAGAGTTAGTTTGCAATCCGAAAAAATAATTATTGTTGTTGCAAAAATCGGAAAAATCATTTAAAAAATTGCAAAAAATGCTAGTTTATTTGTCAATTTTTTTCAGACACTTGAATANTGACCTAGGTGCCCATAAAACTCTTATTTAGCCATTCAAGACAAACACCAGCAAAGATTCATAGTTAATGTATGGGCAGGAATAATCGATAACCAATTAATAGGCCCCTTTTTCTTACCGGACTAGACTAGACTAAACGGTGCCCGATATTTGAATTTTTTACAACATGATCTAAATCTACTACTAGCAAATGTGCCATTGCAAACAAGACAGGAGATGTATTTCATGCACTTCAGTCGTGAAGTTAGAAATTACCTCAACGCAACATTTGGTGATGGGTAGATTGGGCGAGGCGGACCACACTTATGGGCACCTAGGTCACCAGATCTTAACCCCCTTGACTTCTTCTTGTGGGGTTACCTAAAAGAATTGGTGTATTCAACTCCGGTTTATACAAGAGAAGAGTTGATGGCAAGAATAGAACATCATTGTAATGAAATTAAACAGAATCCACAAATGCAATTTAGAGTGCAACAAAATAATCTTAAAAGAATAAGGACTAGATGGAGGACCTATCGAGCATTTACTGAAGTAACCTCTTTTAATCCATATGTTTCATTCTTAACTTTTTTCTATTGCGTTGTGTCCCCGGTTGTGGCTATACGCAAAATACAAAAATTTAATTATCTTGACAACCTTTTTTCCATAAGTCATGAAGTATACCTTTCTTGTAGAAAAGTAACAGGGCTATCTGCCTGCGAGGGCGTAATGTCAAATTTGACAGCTCTGTCAAAGTTGTGTACATTTTAGAACATAATTTCGACCGTCTTTGTATAATAAAAAATATTTGATTCAATTTTAAATGTACAAAGATACATTTGAATGAGTTGCTTTGATCCCCCAAATTTCAAGTTAATCAAAATAACCCTTTAGAAATTATAGGCAATATTCATTTTTCAACTTCTTACTTTGAGTGACAATAACTCCTCAACAATGGCACCTAGGTAAAAAGTTTATATGAAGTACTAGCACTCGTTTGACCTACTCTATATAAACTTTCATTTTTTCCTCGTAGTTACCGGACACCCTGTATGTATATGTGTACGTATACGACGTTGTACGTGTGTACGTTGCGAAATATACAACGGACAAATTGGGAGACGTTATCCAGAGATTAAAAGAACACTAATTCTTTAAGTCCTTAAATATTATTGTACAGAAATGAGCAGTTGCGGAACACATGGAAAATACGGCACATTCAATAGACTTCCAAAATTCTAATAAGATAGAAAAAATATTGTGGTAAATAAGAAAAATCAATATAATTCCAATCGAGACGAGAGTTTTGAATTATCTCGAGTTTAGAAACCGCTCATAAGTAAAAAGTAAATTAAATACCGGAACTATACACAGAATGACGTAGATCGGTACCTACACATAGCAAATATAAATGTCGGACAGAGGACTTAATTCCCGGTTTCAAAATTTCCTCTGAAGAAGAGAATGATGTTATCTTACCAACTAACAGGTATCCATTTTTAATTACTATTGTATTTACTTACTCGGTCAGCTTCATTGGGATATTCCCAATCAATATCTAACCCATCGAAGTTATAAGTAGATATGAAGTAGGAAGCGCTTCCAATGAAGGCACCTCTCTTAGCTGCATCAACAGCCATTCCGGCGAAGAGTTCTGCAACTCCATCAGAGCCACCGCCTACGCTTAGCAGTACTTTAAGGTTGGGGTTTTTTTGTTTCAGGTCAGTTACTCTTTTGTACAACCCTGTTGGACAAAAGAAACGTTATTATTATATTGTACACTGCTTAAAATGGAGCTTCTAAAGGATTTCTTTCTTTTATATTAAATTACATTATGAGATTGCTACTACAGTAGAAGCATTTTGTAAAAATTGGTATAACTGTTTATCATTTGGCAATAGTAATTACAAAAAGTAATAACGTGCCTCGTCTGTATTTTAGAAGAGAATTTTCTAAAGACAAGCGCGGAGAAGAATGGATAAAATATCTTATTTCTAAGGATTGGTTGGTACCAAATAGACTGTGGAAACGACATGTTATTTATTTGTGACTTCCTATTAGTTCTTTGCATTCATGTTGTTTTTGAAAAACTGATAGGTATCTACTTTTATATTGTTTCATATTAAACTAAATAATTTAAATAATAATCTTTTTTATTGAGTAATGCATAATATTGTTTCTTGCGTTGGGTTGTCGCTGATGTCTATATGTTATTTTGACGGACGTTGTTTTCGTTTTAAGTATCTTTAAGTTTATTTAGTATTTTTAGTGCACTATGATGTGTTCAAGCGAAATATGGCAGTTTCTGTGCAAGAAATATTCCAAATGAATGTTTTATTAAATACGGCAAACACCAAGACCATCTAATACATTTGATATACATATATTTGTTACAAATATCAACTTGGTTTTTGGTACACATTTTGTAAGGTGTCCATTTCCTAGTAAAAATTCGGTATAAATAGCAATGACAAGTTCATTAGGCATTTAAAATTTTAATTTTTCATTCCCCTTTCTTTAAAAAAAAATAATTATATGTATGTTGTACACAGCAAACCGTACCATTGTTTAAAATATATGAATGCATGTAATGTTAACCCTTTATAAACAGTGTAATTGCAAGTAGGAGTCAGGTTCTAGAGGCAATAGCATGTGTTCAGAATATCAGTTTGAACTTATTATTTTTTTAATCAAATTAGTCCAGTTATAATTCGTTTTTTACATTTCATTTAAGCTTTTATGCACGCTGTCACGGCGTGCATAAAAGTTGTGTCAGTATTGCTAGTTGTTAACATTCATCACTACAAAGCTGTAGCGACAAATTTTTTAGAAAATAACAAGAGTCCTAAATATGAAGAAATTGTATCAAAAATGATAAAAGACTTTCAAGATCTGGGATGTTTGATGAACTACAAGTTGCACTTC